TCTACACCTCTTGAACCTAATGTCAAGCTTACACCTATGGATGGCTCTCCACTTTCTGATCCTACTCGCTATCGGCAATTGGTTGGTAGTCTAGTTTATCTTACTACGACACACCCTGATATAGCATATGCAGTTCACATTGTTAGTCAGTTTATGGCTGCTCCTCGCTCCACCCATTATGCAGTAGTACTTCGCATTATTCGCTATGTTAAGGGAACATTATTTCATGGACTCCATTTTTCTGCAAACTCCTCCCATGTGCTTCGCGCTTACTTTGATGCTGATTGGGCCAGTGATCCTTCTGATCGTAGATCTACCACCGGTTACTGTCTTTTCCTCGGTAATTCTCTCATCTCTTGGTGAAGTAAGAAACAAGTTATTCCATCTCGCTCTAGTACAGAAGCTGAGTATAGAGCTCTCGAGGATACCACCTCAGAACTTCTTTCATTGCGGTGGCTTCTTAAAGATATGGGCATTCCTCAACCTTCTTCTACTGATTTATATTGTGATAATCAAAGTGATATGCAGATTGCTCATAATGATGTCTTTCATGAATGCACTAAACACATTGAGGTTGATTGTCACGTTATTCGCCATCATGTTGCACAAGGAACTGTTCATTTGGTTTTCATTGGCTCCGCTGATCAACCAGCAGATCTCTTTACCAAGGCTCATTTTCCTAGATGCTTTTGTACCCTTTTTTCCAAAATCAAGTTGGTTTCATCACAACCACCTTGAGTTTGAGGGGGGGTGTTAAGATGTGAACATAATTATATTTAGAATTATTGTAAATATTTTATACTTTAGAATATTCTCTTCGTATACTTTATACCTTAAAATATTCTCTTTGAAAACACCTATATATAAGTCATTGTACATATAGTATAATTCAAGAAAGCAATAAACCTTTCTTTAGATATTTCTCCTTCTTTTCAGTTTCTAACACTGGTGTCGGCCACTGCAAGATCCGTGAAGAGTCTTCTCCATCTTCGATCTGCTAAAGCAAGAGTAAGCTCCAATACTTCAATCACACAAATTTCTCTGTCTTTGTTCTACGTTCTATTTTCACTATGGTTCTTTCTTTGTCTGTGGATCATTTTTAGTTTTTTGAGTT